TGAATTGTGCACAAGGATACCCTTGGTTCATGAGTCAAAAAAATTATTGGAGGAGATATGACAAAATTATCTAATTTGCTAATGTACATATGTTTAAATGGAAATTTCCACTAGATGACGTCACCAGACAGTGCATTTTCTAACTTCTAAATCTATATTTATTCTCTGTTCCCCATAGCGGAAAAAAATTATAAAAACCACCACGAAATTAGCACTCTCACATGAAGCAATAAAAAAATTGCGTTCGAATAATCCATTTTTGCTATTAGACATGACTGATGAATGTAGAGTCTAAATTCAAAACCTGGTAAGCGCGATAAGGTAAAGCTGGGATTGTGCTAGTCGAACCTCTCTCTGAAAAAACCTAAATACTTTTGCCTCATGAACTTTTTATTCGGCAATCCTCTAAAGATGTTGATCCTAATCAAAGGGCAAAGTAGAGAGACTGTTTAATAATGGATGCATAATTTTAGCAGCACATATGACGGCGCTAACTAGTTTTTGGATTTTCACTCAACGCATCTTAAGGTGATTCGATGATCGCCAAATTTTGTGCCAGAACGACGTGCAATTTATCGCATCGATTTGTTTATGTTCTCAACTACTTGTCATTTTTATATCGATTTTAAGATTGCATTCCTATTGTCACTAGATTAAAGAATTCACTTACCAAATTTGACAAACACCTTGAACGTAATAACGTAAAAGAGGCAGGGTTTTTTCTTTTTTTATTTATTTATTTATTTTTTTTTTTTTAGAAGAGAAATATCGCATTCGATACTGATATCGGAACTACATTCGAATGCATTGTTTCCCCTTTAAAAAACCCTTCCTCTATCACGTTGGATTTGTTTGTGAAATTTGGTAAGTGTATATTCGTTATAGTCTCCTGACAACGAAAATGCTATCTCCAAATTCGATAAAAATGGCAAGCATATAGCTGAATGAGGACATGGAACTAATCGAAAGGACATATCGCATGTCGTTCTGGCGGCACGTATTCGATACATTAGATAGGTAAGATTGTAGCGATATCGATTGGCTTAATATGGAAAAATTCAATTTAGAAATCTAAGGTAACGGATCTTTTGTGATCGAATTTTTCTCCTTTCGCGTATCGAATGACAATGAAAAGTGGACTTTATAGAAATTTTCTTATTTTCAGCTTTTCCAAATTAAATCCTAAAATTTTCATTTTGAGGTTATGTTCTTGTTTTGTGCCAAACGATCCATCGAACCCCTATCGAATACGATCTATATGTGATCAAATCACCTGAATGTAAAATAAGACACATTTTGTTCCCATTCTGACAACCTTGCACCCGAGCGTCTTTTACATCTTTATTAGAGTTAACAAGTTCTCTGACGTTCCTTATTCCATCACCTCCGTCGAATCCTCTAATCATCACACCCTACCTTCTTCCTACGATGATTCCCGCTCTCCTGTCCCGTCGCACAGTGGATCGAGTCAATTAGAGAGGTCGGACATGAAATTCTTGACTAAATTTGCAAATTTTTATACTTATTCCGTCACATTTCAACCTCAAAAGAGTGCTATCGGAGGAGAATTTCACGAGAAAAACCAATAAAAGCACTTTTAGAACCTCAAAATTTTGTATAAGCGGAGTCTTGAGCGTTTAAAGTTTCCAGATTTTGTCCGACCTGTCCTATTGGCTCGATCCGCTGTGCGTCCGCGGTAGAGCGGTTTCTTTTCCCCTTCTTGTTACATTTATGGATTGCACATGTGCGGACTTACGGTCAAATGTCCGGAGATTGAGGTGAAGAGTTAAATGACCTTGGTTTGCCCATTATTTAATCGGAGAAAAGCGGCGCAAAGTTAAAACATACATCAATAGTTCTACACTGGTTATATCGCCGGACAATACATCAATAGTTCTACACTGGTTATATCGCCGGACAATAAACTAAAAGAATATATTTACAACTTTGCAGCAATTTTAGAAGCAGCCCGCCCTGTGAGCCGATTATTCATATTGATAGACAAAGCGATAGGTGAAGAAGACACAGGTAGTATGGAGCGCAACTCTATTGGTTGAAATAGGTGGTTCTTATAGATTAAGGGGATAAACAATGGACTAACTAGGTCTCTCGTGGGTTGCCGTTAGTCAGTCTTTATACCTTCCTCTTTTGTCCATTATAATCACCCGCTACCATCAAAGAATCTTTCCGTATCCGTTTTGTCTTCTTTCTCTATAGCTTTGTCTATAAATTTCAACAATCAGTCCGCTTGGGATAAATGGAGTAACTTGATAGAGAGAGTATTGCCGTGAGGCAATGGCTTTTGATTGGCTTATCTATTCTGAGCCTCGCATGGAGCTCTTAGAACCCTTCAATCGCAGACTCTGTGAGTAAATGTAAGACAAAATGGCTTAAAATGTATAGTTTTATTAACGAATCGCAATAAAAACTATACTCAAATACATTATTAGGACGTATTTGCATAGCTTTACAGGTAATCTTGTGCTATTTTCGAGGAAAATCTTCTTGGATGTAGTAAGATTGGCAGCAAGTGCGGTTGGTGATGACCATTAAAAGTTGGCAATGGCCCTCCTCCCTCCTCCCATCCTCAAAATCCTAAACAAAGCGCCGCCATTTTTAATTCTAGGGCCTCCGTGGCAAGAGGAGGCGCGCAATATCAAAATTCTCTCTAGTTACTCTAGAGATAACGATTGTTAAAATATTTTGAAGAGAAAAACTAAAAATCCTAAGGAGAGGTAATCCTGAAAAGAAAAAGAAAACCATCATCATTGCAATGATACTTTCCTCCGACCTAATCACTCTGAGATTTTCCAATATCATAGCGCATTTGTACAATTGGACGATCGTAAGTTTTGATGTTGAAGTTTTTCAGGGTAATTAGGTAGGAAGAAAAGTAGAATTGCAATGTTATTCGTCCTGATGAATATAATAAAAATAGATTCAACACAAAACTTATATCATTTAAGAAACCCTTTATTCAATCAATCGTTTTTTCTTAAAATTTACGAGAGACAAACTTCAATTGAAAAACTTAAAAAAAACTCTTCGCATTTTTTTTTTTTTTTTTTTTTTTTTTTTTTTTTTTTTTTTTTTTTTTTTTTTTTTTTGCAATATGTATGAAAGAAGTGTGTAGAAAAACTCAGGAGGATTTTCGATGTATGCATGTCACCATTCTACGTCATTCTAACGTTTTCATGCCACTAAAAATTTGGTATTTTGCGTTGATCATGATGTATAGCTAATTAGCAAAAGTGATCAATGAAATTCAAATTTACGAGAAAAAACCATATTTTTTGGTTGATTTGAGAAACGTCACATTTGTGATTAATGTTCCATGAAACTAGCTGCTTTAAAAAAACGTGATCCTGAGGTTTAATTTTCCTTCTCTTTTTTCCTAAACCTGAACTCTTGCTAAAATTCCGAAACTTTTCGAATATCCGCAGCAATTTTATGAGCTCTTCCAACAAATCATTGTCAACAAAGAACAAAGCAATTGACGAATGTCGAAAATGAACCGTTCAAAATATGCTTTCGCTCCTATACTTTGAGTGGAAAATGAACAAAAATCGAATTAAAAATCATATTGATGGATTTGTTCAGATACTTTGACTATAAGTTTGGCTTTTATCAGGGCCTCAGATGCCGATAGTCTAACCTTACTTCATTAAAAATATCAAAGATGGTCAATTCTATTTCTATTATACTCCAGGTTTAGCTGGCTTACAAAATCCAATAATCTACATCTTAGAAACGCCTTCAACTTTTAGTGATACCGTAGAGTATCAACTCTATTCCGTAGTGCGGGTTGCTCAGTGTGAATTTGAAGGAGTCTTCTTCTTGTTGCAGAATTAATTCTTCGTATAGTGGTTTCACTACCGTCAAAAATAAATCCCAGCAAAATGATGCGTGCCATATGAAATCTAACTGCACCGATCTTCAAACAATGTCATGAAATTAAAAAGTATTGGAGGAGTTTTGAAGTATAAAAAGAAACAACTTGACCATGTGCAATTTTGATTTTTTAAGCGCGCTATGCTATAGCCTACCCCTTGCAACATTGCCATGCTAAGGAAGAACGCTTTATGAACCTTCAGGCATTGACAAATTTCCCTTGATAAAACACAAATTTCCTGGTCAACCTATGAATATATTTTTTCCAATTTTTCAGATAATTTTGCTCGAAATTCCACCGAAAAGTCCTGAAAATTTCAAGGGAAGATATTCATAACTTTCCTCGAAAATGAAAATTTTATCGAAGGAAATGTAGCAACTCTATAATGTTCATACGGCGTTCTTCCTTACCACGGCAGAACACCTCTCTTATTGCGCAATTGAATTGCGAACACGCTGTTTGTCGATCCTTTTCCTCATGTTGAAATGACGGATCAATCGATAAATCGTAAAGCACGCCACACCACTGGTTGATCATCCGCTGAGCAGCAAAATATGGCAAAAGGGTCGATGACTTTCGAGGAGAATAGAATGAGAATGAGAGTTGAAGAGTCAAAGTTGTGTCGCAAGAGCCAAAGTCACCAGAGGCGAGGCAAAATAATCGACTATCGATATTTTCCTATCTGAAACTGTGAGTATAGTAAAGAATCGACTATTTTGGTGTTCGTTATGTATGAACGCCCTGATAATCGATCCTTTCGGAAGGATAAATCGTATTCGATAGTGGTTCGATGTATCTTTTGGTCCAAATCAATCGAACATAACCGCAAACAAAAATTGTAGGATTTAATATGGAAAATCTGGAAATGAAACAATTCCTAACAATGTCACTTTATATTGCTGTTTGATACTCGTGGGAATAAAAATTCGATCACAAATGACCCATTACATTAGGTTTCTGAATTGACTTTTAAGGCTATGTTTACATACGTGGTCTGTCCGGAAAGTATCAGAACTTTTTAGATTTTGAGAAATCGAGCTTACCTATGACGTTGCGGCTTTAATCTCCTTCGAAGTTCTCTCCGTAAGACACAATGCATTTGTTCCAGCGATTTTTGAGCTTTCCAAAACAGTCCAAAATGAACTCCTTTGGGATGTCCTTCAGCGCTCTCGTCGTATTCTTTTTGATGTCATTGATGGAGTCAAATCGAGTCCCTTTCATTGGAGATTTCAGCTTTGGGAACAGCCAGAAGTCGCAAGAAGCTATGTCTGGACTATAATATGAAGGATGTGGAACCAGAGGAATACCGTGCTTTGCCAAAAACTGTTGCACAAGACAGGAGGAATGAGCCGGAGCGTTGGCACAAATTTCGCTGCCACTCTACGGAGCCCGAGTTTTTCAGTTAAAATTTCCGCAACGATGGTCTTCGGGATTTTTAGCAGCTCTTCTATTTCCCGCACGGCTAACCGGCTGTCTTGGGCAATAGATTTTCAAACTAGGATTATCTTTATGATCGGCTAAAGTGCTTCTATAGCATTGGACAAATAAGCCCAGGCTACTTACTTGAACAAGTAAGATTATGTAGAATAGAAAATAAAAAGTGTTAAGCATCAATGAGTGTTTGATACAATTTTGATTCCGATTGTTTTCCATTATTTTTTCCCCCTTTTTTAAAAAAGTAAATTTAACATTTATTTTACTGAAAGAAAAACAATAAAGATTTCCTAATTCGTACATTTCAACAATTCCCTAGGTTTTTTGAAAGTCCAAATTAAACAGTGCGTGCTACTAGGAAGGCCTTTGAGCTGGATTTCCTGAAAGGTAGCTACTTAATGCCAAAATCAGTTCGTGATCAGGAATTGTTCGCAGGGAAACGTATCGCTCATATTTTCACTGGTAAAAAAGAAAGACCACATCAGAAATTGCGTTATTTTGTGTTTATTGAAAAAAGTACCAATTTCAGCTCTTTTTCCGGCGTATATTTTGACGGTACAAGTCCCAAGCCACGTATCTCAGTTTGCAACATCACAGACTTCCTACTATACTTTTTTTTGTAAGCGGGAAGTTATTTGCCGTCGATGGGCCACTGGGCAAGATCTGAGGTAGAAGGATAGTGGTTTGGTAGATTCACCGTCATAATACTTTGCAACTTTCATTACATACTTTCGGCAAACGAGCAATGAGAAAAAGAATAACACACGGTTTGATGCTCTAACAAACTCCTGGTCTTTTATTTTGAATCTATAAAAAAAAAAAATTAATTTTAATGAGTGGCGGTCGCCACCTGCGGACAAAGTCTATAAACTCGACAATAGTGGAAGGCGTCCAAACATCATCGTAACGCTAAACAATGAGGTAAATTGCTGATGGTTTTTAAAGTAAATAAACTTAAAAACTAGTGTAATGTATAGATTTTTAAGTAGTAAGGCACACTTTAATTTTGGAGGCATTGAGATTCTGTTCTTTCTTCTTCCGCGTGAAAAACCACCAAGCACATATCGACGGTGAAACTACCAAACCACGTATCTCGGTTGCGGTGTTTAAAAATCTACGCTCACATTTTATTTTTTTAAAGTAGACCAAATCAATATCATTCCTTGAAATTTTCACAGAATTTTCTCCGCACGAAGAGGAAAAATCACAGAAATTTTCAAGACTGGACGTTCAGTAGTTATTCATTTAAAAAATAAAGTATGACAGGAAGTCTGCGACGTCGCAAACCGAGATACGTGGTTTGGTAGTTTCACCGTCGATATGGTGTAACGTACCTACCTAACGTATACTGGAAAAAAATAGTTCTGTTCACATGGATCCTGCACTTTCTTTGTAACAGTTACAGAAGTTTCCCTTTTGTGAGGACAGAGTACTCTGTGCCTACAACCGAGGTTCCATTCTCAAAACCGAAAAATTCTACATGTATAACAAAGGAACTGCAAGAGCCCGGTGAACAGGAGGATCTGAAATCAGTACCAAGTACTTTTTTCCGTGTGCTTAACCTCCGCGGCGCACAAAGTAGGCAGTCAATAGAGTTGGACAAGAGATTTTTCACAAAAACCGCAAATTTTGATGTACATTTCGACACATTTGAAATTTAAAGGGGCGTTTGTTGAAGTAAATTTTACGAGAAACGTGATGAAATTGCTTTGAAACTGTAAGGTTTCGGATTTTAGAATATAAGCTATCGAAATTTCCATATCATGTTTGACCTCGCCCATTGACTTTCTCCACTGTGCAGCGCTGCGAGAGGGCAGTCTCACTTTCCTCGTCCTTCCTTTTTCCATCATTATGAAACCAATGATGCGCGCTGGTGACATTATCCAAACGTGGCTCGTGTTATATTTTCCCCTTAATCCGCCTTGGAGCGAGGTGTAAAGCGTTGCACTCTGTGGAAACAGCTCTCTGGATTCAGCGTTGGATGTACATCACTCGATGGTAAGGAAGCTCTTACTAGTTGCTGTTTAATTATTCCCCAAGAAGCACAGATACAATGGACCACTAGACAAGGCACGAATTTAAGCAATCTGATACATGTTTCCTAACCAGAACTTTACGTATAACACGATTCGCACAACAAAAATTACTGAAACCAATTCCTAACGAAGTTTATTTCACATTGGTTACGAGGAATTTGAACTGCCCGCTCACAAGAAACTCAAAGCTTTACGTGAGTCAAATCGCGCACTACAATGGTTTCAGCAAGCTTCTCAATCGAGCAATGTTCATTTCCCACCATAAGTCGTTCAAACTATTAGAAATTTGCTATAGCTGAGCCAAAGCGTCAAAATTGAGGTTGCCAGATTTTTATATCGCAGAGACTGTCATGATAACGTTTAGCGCGCGACGTGAATCACGCAGACCATTGAGTTTTCATAAGCGGGTGGTTTGAATTCACGCATCAAGAATCATTAAATATCTTCGTAAGGAGTTGATATAGGTAATTTTTGTTGTGCGCATCGTGTTCTACGTGCAATTTTAGTTACAAAACATGTATCAGAATGCTGAAATTCGTACCTTGTCTAGTGGTCTATTAAATAATGAAAAGATTGCGGCTGAGTGTTGTGTATGTTGTATATTCAGTAATTGAAGGGGCTCTTCTTTTCGAAATGCACTGCAATGAAATTGAAATATGTAGCATCAAGTGAACTCTAATGCAATGTTTCAGCTCTCAAAAGTGTCAAGCGTAGAATCTGCGCAGTTTATATGTAAATTTTAAAAGAGATGCTGTCTTTTCTCCGCGTGCGTTTGACTTGGACTACATTTTGAAACGAGGAGCCATTGTTTTTGGCTAACATCAGAAATAACTAAAAAGGTGCCATCACTTTCCTTGTGCAGATGCTTGACACTACTCTCCTTGGGCAGATACGTGCTATTAATTTTGTGCAGATATGTGCCTCTGTGAATGAGTGGGATATTGTAGTTCAGTATTAAAAAATGTTGTCCCTATGAAGATTGTACTTTTAAGGGCGTTAATGGAGATGAATGAAAAACATGTATTAATTTGGCCTGGCCGTGACAATCCCCATAGCCAAGAAAGCATTTTAGTTTTCTTATTTATTCTTCCTATAATATTTCGTGCATTTAACCCACCAAAAATGGATTCAGTACCCCATAAGTAAGTACTTTTCGTTGTTCTGAAGAGTCCACGAATATTCGTACAAACTGAGGCATCGGCAAGATTATCCGCCGAGCAATCATTCTAATCTAAAAGACTGATTCATCAGTGGCGTGGCGTACTTTGCGATCTATCGATTGATCTGCCTTTGAACCCATAGAAAGGGATCGGTAAACAGAGTGTTCGCAACGAACTTCTTAATAATGGATTCTTTACCATGGCTTCAAATGCCGATATATCGATATTCGATCATTCACGCCTCGCCACGGTTATTAAGCCCTGATTAGGAAAATACGAAAATTTATAAAATTGCCACGTGAATTAGCCATACTTTTTGAAAGTGAGTTAAATGCACTGTTGTTTTTTGCAAAAACTTTGGATTAGCTTAGTTGGCATGGAATTTTAGAGAAGAATAAAGTCCTCTCTGCTTTTTTTTTCAAATTTGCATTTTTTCAACTAATCTGAATGTGCTGCCTAGCCCTTCTATTTTGAAAAGGATTCACCGTGATTATCATACTCCCTCACTCGTTAAAAAGTAGAAACCTCCTCAAATATCATGTACCATCAACTACCCGCTGGCGTTTGATTGTTTCTAAACTGTGAAAGTGAAAGCAATGCATATTCTTATTCACTTACTAATGTTCAAATTTGGAATTATCGATAATTCCCAATTGGAAGCTATGGCAAAGAATCGATTTTTAAGATGTTTACTCCTTTTAGCCCTGTTTATCGATCCTTTTTCATAGATTTAAATCGCAGATCTATCGATATTTAGCAAACCATGCCACACCATTGGATTGTACAGTAAGGCAATAGAGGCCGGAAAAAGTCCGTAAAATTGTGACTAGATACGAATTTCACTCTAAATATATTTTTGGAGAAACAGTCCCTATAGTTCCAGCACAAAGATTATTAATTTTAAAGTTTTTGGAAAGAAATTTAACATCATTTCATCAAATTCGATTACGACCTCTGAAAAATTCCCCGGTAAATATTGAGAATAAAAAACTATGCCGTTGGTCTCGCAGAAATGGATGTACTTTTATCAAACGGAGCTATGTGCGTTATGACGTGAGCCCTGTTATGCACATATTCTTATGAGTCTCGGGGCTCATGTCTTAATGCACATAGTTCCGTTTGGCAGAAATTAGTCCAAATAACGAGTGTGAGAGTGAGCTAAATCCGCTTTACGCCGTAGCGCCTGATTTGTTTTCTTTGAGTTTTTGTCACGATGCGACGCAACGGTTCAGTGCACCTGCGACTCCACATAAGTTGGTAATAGGCCGTTAACAATGACATCACACTGCATAAGCGGTTAGCTACGGTTAGTTGACCGTTTTCGTTTCGTCCAATCCTTTAATGCTACAGATTTCTACCTCTTGTTCGGAGACTCTCCCTGTAGACTGATTTAGTGACTGCATCATTCGATATTACCATCTTCATCGATCCTTTTACATAAGACTACATGGCAGATCAATCGATATGTCGCAGGCAAATAGTAAAATCGGGCATTTTGTCAAATGCCTGGGCAAATAGTCAAATATTCTAACTTAAATTTAAATTCTGATTCTTCTCCTACTTTCAGACAACATAATTCATTGCCCCTGCAAGAAAAAATTCTCAGTAAAAATTTGCACACACAATAGTACTTTAAACAATGTTTAGCTCCTTAAGAGACACTGATCTTGGAATTTTCAGCGTGTCTTAAAATAGAGAATTTTTGGAATTTCGACATTTAAAAATATGAGTAGCAATTGAAGAGGAAGAGACAAAAAGAGTTCGTAGGTTTGATGGGTTATTTTTCCAAAAATATTGAAAATCGTGAGCTCTTCGCCATAAATTCACAAAATTTTGCAGACCGTTAAAATTTGACTAGGCATTTGACAAAATGCCTGATTTCACGATTTGCCTGCGACAGATATATCGCAAAGCACTGATTAATTCGTATTCATATTTTCTCCATCAGATGTTCCTTACCTCTGAAGATGATCCTCGGATATCGATTTCAAATTACGTCCTATGGTTCTTGATAGTCGTACTTTTGTACCTAATTTTCTGCCATAAAAAATCGACGAGAGTTAATAAATTCTTATCAACTTTACCTGGACCTCTAGAGTTACCTTTTGTGGGATGCGTGCCCACTTTTCTCCTCCAACACTGTAAGTTATTCTTCTATTTGTTCCAACTTCAACAGTAGTATTAAGCTGGTGCAATAATTAACTGCAAAAGCACTCCGTTTTATTTTGTAGCATAGCGTTTATTCCCGTCAATATTATTACTTGTTGAGTGGATAGGTGCTTGTATCGAAAACAGTCAAATGAACATACAAACCCTGGTAAAAATTGGCGATAGGAGCTGCGTTTCAAAATACCATAGAATTCTTATAGCCGACTGAAGAAGGCGATAGAAAATCATATAGCTGGCTGTAGAATGTGGAAACAATTATACGGCCAGGCTACACGAAGCGATAAGAAATTATACAGCCGGGCTATAGTTCCTATCGCCGGGCTTTACACTTTATCGCCTGGCTGTTGCTTTTTCGCCATCGGCTATAAAAGGCTATAAGAAATTGAGTAGAAATTCGTGTGCTTTGTAAATCCTTAAGTTTGTACGGAATCACCTTAATATTTACAAAACGCACATTATATTTTCCTTTACTACATATTTTTTTTCATCAATTACGAGGGGCATTCGTAAAGTAAGTATATATCTTTATTTTCTCCAAAACTAATGAAGATAAATTAAATCGGTAAAAATTGTTTTTACCGCCATACTCTCAGCTTTTCAAAAAGCCTTCGTTTTTTAAATTTGGTTTACCGGTTCGCGAGTGACGTCATTTTTCCCGCGCCTATCTCTCGTCACTGCGTGTCCAAAATATTCGAGCGCGGCAGAGGCTGTTCTCCTCAGACGAGCACATGTTTTCACCGTAAAGAAGGTTGTAACACAGTTAATTGGTTAAATATGTGAAACTTTCAGTCTTTGAATTGTCTTACCTTACTTTTCGACATAATCTCCACCCAGTTGAACACATTTCTGATACTGTGTTAGCAGTTTGGAGATTCCATCTTCAAAAAATTCCGCATCCTGTCGCTGGAACCATTTTTTTACTGCAACTCTGCGTCGGTGAAGAACTCTTGGCCACTCAAGCTCATCTTTAACGCAAGAAAAAGATGAAAATCGCTTGGAGGAAAGTCCGGTGAGTACGGTGGATGAGAAAAAAGGTCCCATTTGGATGAGGCGAACAAGTCTTGAGTCACATGAGCCACATGAGGCCTAGCGTTGTCTTGAAGGAATAAAACTTGACGAGACTAAAGACCGGGCCGTTTTCGCTTGATCGCTGACTTAATTTTTTTCAAAACTTCACAATATCTTGCGGCATCGATCGTTTTTCCTCTCTCCAAGAAATCAATCAGTAATATTCCTTGAGCGTCCCCAAACACCGTAGCATGTACCCGTCTGAGGACTTCCGCCGCACTCGAATATTTTGGACACGCAGTGACGAGAGGTGGGCGCGGGAAAAATGACGTCACTCGCGAACCAGTGAACCAAAGGCTTTTTGAAAAGCTGAGAGTATGGCGGTGAAAACAATTTTTACCGATTTAATTTATCTTCATTAGTTTCGGAGATAGTAAAGATATATACTTACTTTACGAACGCCCCTCGTAAAATGAGAATAATCTATACAGAGTGTGCAAACATTTCAAATTCATGAGTTGAAAAACGCTGACTCAACGAGATTAAGTATTAGAGCCTAACACAAAGCGAAGCGGCGGCGCACTGGCGCCTTCAAACCTAACAGGGATACTTCACGCATTGCGCAATGCGTGAAGTATCCCTGTTAGGTTTGAAGGCGCCAATGCGCGTTTCGCGCCGGCTGCCCGCCCGCCGCGCCGCGCCGCAGCGTACCAAGGCGCTTGAAGCAACTATTTCACACCAGAGGTATTGCACAGTATCATACAAAATTACAGGCGCTCCAACATGTCAGGAATGGCAGGCATCCTTCAAAAGTACGGAGCTTTCCTCGCAAAATAAATCAAGGTACTACGGCCCAAAAAGAGAGCGGTAGTCCAAAAACTCACTAAGTCCTAGCATCCGTAGTGTCCTAGTAACTTTTAGCATACACTTTATCGCCAGGTTGTTGCTCAGTGTGCCATCGGCTATTAAAGGCTATAAGAAATTGTGTTGCCGGCTTTAGAAGCTATTGGAAATCTTACAGCAGGCTGTAGGTCTACTGTATTTTGGAATACAGATTCTACCGCCAATTTTTACCAGGGAAAATAAGTAGGAGTATGTCATGAGAACATATCTTAATTTCCTCACTTTTAGTCTTGCAAGTTAGAAACTCTGTTTTTCCTCCATTTATATTCATGTTAAAAATCTATTCTAGAGGAGGCAGCCTATTTCGCACTAAGAATCAATTATTATGATATAATTTAATAAAGGAATAGAGATGTTGCTAACTTTCAAAAATTACCACTGCCAACACCGTAGGTTTTCGTGAATTTTACAATTGGATTACATTTTGCAATATACGTAACCAAATTCATTCCAAAGGTGGTAAGATTACGCGACTTCTTTTACATTGCAACTATAAACTGATCATATAAAAAATTCAAGCCAAAAATTACCTTTGAAAATTTATTATTTTGCATAATTTTAGTAATTTCTTGCAAAGGATGTAGGTTGCACAATCCTGGCAAAGTTGGAATGCTCTTGGTTCCTAATTACACAATGCAATCCAATTAGTGATAAGTAATACTTCATAATAGGGCTTGTTGAAATGAATTGGCGTGATATTGATTCCCAATAAATTGCCACATTTTTCCATGAGCCTGCAAAAGTTCCGTCTTGGAGGAAAAAATCCTCTAAGTATATAAATAGCGAATTTACATTCATCGACTCATTTTTTACTTGTATTCGGATTGATCTTCTCCTTTGGACTTAGTATATATGTATGTATAATGACGATTTTTTGTCCAGCAAGATATAGTGACTGGATGAGAATTTTTGACCAATATGCAACCTGTAGAATGTATCGTTTTTCAATTTTTTCGGATACATTCGTGGTCCTGTCCGATCCGGAGGTGATTCAGGTAACGATCTAAATTTAAATAATCTTTAAGAAATGTACGCAACTTAAGGTTCTACTTTGTTTAGGGGACAACTTTTGAGAATATTCGGTTCATTATGCTGCATGATCCACCGCTTGAATTCCTCATTATCTGCTCAAAATTTTTTTAAGCGGAGTTTGGGATTTCATCGGAAATAAAAATGAGAAAAGTGCCTAAATTCACAAAGAGGCATAAAAATGAGAAGGAAAATGTAAAACAGGAGAATATATTCATTAAGATTCATTTGCCAACCACGTTCAACGAATCCTTCAAACCCTGTGTGTTTTTATTTTCATTCTTTTATTCAATCATTATTAAGGAACATTATGTTTCCCACAATCCTGAAAGATTGCTGTCCGTTTTCTGGAAATGAACATTAAATTGCATTGTTCGTACTGTATGTACTTACATACATATAAAGCCGTATTTATAGCGCTCTCTGGCGCTCTGCGACACCTAGCCACCAAAGTCCCCTATCCTCCCAAAGCCCTTCAGGGAGTTGGCACAGTGGCACACCCTTATTTCTTCTAAAACCCCCTGTCGCCAACCTTTTACTAAGCGTCCCCTTCGTCTTACATCATCATACACTATCACTTTACCTTAAAAAAAGTATTTTATTCTGTTTTGGAAAGAAAAATATGCAGACGCGGGTTAAATTTTTGAAAACATTAATTGTACTAGGGGTTTACAAATTAGAAATGTATGTCAGGCAATTTATGATTAAAGGTCCTTATACGGAATTATTGCAGATGGTCCTAAGGAACCCAAATTGTTACGACAAGGATAAATCTATTTACGATCTCTTCCGACTTCCCGAGATTCTTTCCACTGCAAACGGCAAGTTTCAACCTTCCTAACATTGTAATGTAATAGTCGTAATGTTTAATTAGTGGTTTATTAATGGAACTACAGTTCGCAATGAAGAATCGTAAATTTTGGCTCATTTTAGAAAAAACCAAATGCACGTGAAATTAGTGCCCCTTTGCAGCTATGTAACTTAATGGATGAACAATATAATTTGGTGCCTATAATTTCAAAATGTAGAATTGCGGAAGGCACACCTACATAGACTTACACATATTTTCATCAAAATTATTTCATATTATAATTGCATTATCCCACCTTGTTTCTGGTATCCTGTCCAAAATTACCAGACGGAAGTTCACCATGAGGAAACGAAGAGAGCTAAAACTCCTTCAATTATTAGTGAGCAACACGCACATCTAAAAAGTTTGAATAGTTGTATCCAGGCGCTAGTATGAACTTCACAGTGTTTTGTTTCCTTTTCTTTACATTCAATCTGATTCAAGCTGTGTGCATACGTTTAAAATGGGGTTAATTTTCTCAGAGAGGATATGATGAGTGCGTTGACGGTATACTTCCTTGAGGATAAAACACGATACATTCTATTAAAAAAAAAAAACCTAGGTGGCGTTGAAAGAAATGGAATTAGAAAATTTTATTTCTCAAAACACTCTTACAACTGAGTTCGAAAACGAAAATTATTTCAGGTAGAAAATGGCTGAACGAGAGGAAGGCCATTTTACCGAGTTTTCATCCAAAATTGCTCTCGAGTTTTGATGCCACGTGCCATCGTCACACACAACACTTGATGACCACTCTACGAAAGCACGCAGAACAAGGGGAACCTTTTGACCTTGGACAAGAAATGACGCTTCTCTTCATTGACATTATGAGTGGTAATGTCAAAGATTTTTAATTCAAAATAGTGAGGACTTACCATTTTATGCCATTAAGAGAAACTAAATAATCAGGAACAGTTTAAAAGACAAACAACGTATCGAGAATTGTTTTATTGATCAGCATCAAAACTGGCAAATAAATTGGCTGTCATTCTGCTGTGCTAAAGGGAAAATGCCGTATGAGCCTTCAGACGTTACCATATCTCCTTCAGTAAATAACGAATTTTCCGAGAAAATTTTTAAAACAAATGTTTATATCTTTCAGACAATTTTATCCACGTTTTAATCTAAAATATCTGAAAATTTCGAGGAAAAGTAAGCATAACTTTCCCAAAAAATACATGTTTTATTCGGAGAAATTTGGCAACACTCGAATGTCCGTCCGGCGTTTTTCCTTAGCACGGCAGTATTGGCAGATTTTTTCTTCTAAGACGTCACACTTCACTGAAAAAATATCCAGAACAGAGAGGACAGAAAGATGTTGAAGCTGTTGGTGTTGACATTACTATAAGAATTCGCCATTACATTGGATTTGATCCAAACAGTAACGATGACATTACATTTGTCAATGCTACCAATAAGAATTTACATCGAGATACAGCTTTCCTGTGACGTAGCACTAATTGATGGGACAACCTCAAAATCATGGACACTGTTAAAAATTAATAATATTAACACAAGTCACACACACATGATACTCAATTCTTATCATTTTGTGTTTTTTGTTCTTTAGATTCTTTCCTCGGGGTCTCGGCCAACGCTCAATTGAATGGTTTGAAAGAATTTGCTAACTCACTCTTGACGTAAGTGTACCTATATAGAACAACGTGGAGTGTAACAAGAGACTTTTACACTTTCTCTAATAATAATATAAATGAATAACTTGATTTACTACCAATATTTTACTACATACATTTGAGGAGATTCTTATGTTCGTTCTTGTTTCATTAAGCTCCTAAGAATGTCCATTTACTTTATGTCTACCTTGTTTTTTCTGATTTTATACTAAAATTGAAGAATATTTGTGACTCCTGAAATGCGTGGTTTCGTTTTTCCTTTGCAGACATTTTAATTTTATTTGCAATCAGGAACCGCGATATTTCTAGCTCATTTTAGTAACAAATTAGGTGCCGTTAATGTCCCTGTACGGATTAATGAATGAGCAAGAGATAATACTCCTTTTTGCAAAACTTGGTCAATTATTTTGTAATTACCGTGTAACGCCTTTCTTTTGCCCCGATCAGAGTTCCAGACTGTATCATGGAACGGGTATTTATACCTCCATTCAGGAACGATTTCATTTGGAAGCTCTGTGGAAGAATGCAAAGATTTGATGCTGTCAAAAAGAGTCTTTACTCCGTCGCCAAGCAGGTATTCTGACTGTTAAATATACAATATTTGGACTTAATTTTGCAATTAAGAAATACAATGTCTAGCTTATCCGAAAAAAAACACGTATGTACATAGGGAAACTAATGGCACTTACGTTTTTTTAAAAACTAAGCTGGAATTCATAGTTACTAATTGCAAAATGTGGTTCATTTACAATAAGCTTTCATTAGGCAAATACCAGTGACAAAATTCAGTGTCACCTCTTAGCAGGCTGTTCTCTAAAATAAAGTATAAATACTAAATTTTCTAAGCTTACATTGTACAAACTGTGGGTGGTCTAATCTCATTTTTAGAAGGAATCATAGATAATTATTCCTTAACCCTTAGATGCCCAGGATGTTTTTATACGCAACCTCCCAAGTTGGTTCAAAATGACCAGTGTTTAAAATACATTGACTTTAATAGTTTTTAAAGTATTATACATGTTTTTGTATGTTTTTGAAAGTAAGAAAAACTTTTCTTTTAAAATCCTTCACCTTTTTGCTCATGAAGCACCACTACAAATTAAACAAACGGAACCGACAAAACATAGAAACAGAGCAAGGGAAAGGACGCGCGTGGATGAAGGCGCATAGATACAACTATTCGTGCTTGATGGATGTTCGCGTTGCATACCTGCAAAATTGAAGGCGGGATGGCGCGCGGCGTGAACTCGCAATGCTGCGCTCTACGCTACCGATGAGATGTCGCACACTGTGGTATTGGACCTGAAAAGCTGGCCAAAACTATTTATCACCAGATACCGCCGAGTTTTAAAAATATTTTACAATCAGTACTTCTTCTTAAGTGATAATATGCACAATTTAACCACCCAAAACATCATATGACAATTTGCGGAGAGTTTAAAGAGGGTGCAAGAAGCCCTCCGAAAAGCCTTTAAAAGGATGCAAAGTATCTGACTAAAGCGGTATGCATTTAGACGAGTTTCTCCTTCACATATGGTCTACTTTTCGAAAAAAGGACTTTCTATTACCTCATAATTAATGGTTTTTTTTTAAAAAACAGTGTAAGTCACTTCAAAATTTTTGACGAAACAGCCGATCTCTCACATTGAGGAGTAATTGAACATTTCTCAAAAAAATTAATATGAATCATTCTAGGTATTAGATTTTTGACAGTTTTGAGTCAGAATTAGTACTAGTATGAAAGTGCCGGGACCTCCATATGATGATTTGAGGTTAAATTATAAGATGAAAATGAGTTTTATCATAATAAGAACCATCGTAAGGGCAGAAAGCACCTGTGAAAATGATTCATTTTGATGGGTTCCTTCCTCACCCATGGTCCACATCTCAAAGTGAGGGCACTTCACCGCGAAATTCGTAACAAAACCACATATCTCACTGTTACGAGGCTTCAAATGTGCCTCTCAGCGTAATTTCATGGTGCCAGAGGGCCACTTTTAAAGCCCCACCCCGCGGCCGCATGGACTCAAATTTGTCTGTAAAAGTAAAACATGGCATAAATATGTCTATACTCAAGGATAATGCACGCAGAGATTGTTAGATAACGGTTTAAACACTTTTGCAAGACTTTAAAGTGACCCTCCCATCCGCTTTCAAATTATTTTTTTTATCCCTCTTTCGAGGGCGTAGGGGCCAGAGAAACAGGTTGCGTGACCAAATATCACCCAAGCTGGTACTAAATGGGTCAGAGCTGTTGGAAAAATACAATTTCAGTCGTTAGTATCGACATAATTTTTCCCATTCATGTTTGTAAAAATCGCTCAAAAGTCCATCTTTAAGGTCAAAAATTTCAATTTCCTCAGTTTTCCTCAGTCTGTCACCCCTGAATCCTGAAAATACCTACTTTGGACTATAACATTCCGCCTTAAACCGCTTGAGCGCAGTTGAGCGCAAAAAGAAATCGGACTCTGAATTTCGAAAAAAAGTTTACTTTTACATCACTTTTCAACCTCCTGTGAAAATCACTAAAAAAGGAAATTTCGAAAATACTGTGGTTAGTTGTGTAGAATATACCCCTAAGAATGTGTTGCATATCGCCGAAGTTCCCTTTTATGGCCGCACAGTTGAAGTAAACTGATCGACGAGTAGCGCGCTAAAACATATCAAAATAATCGCTGAGAATTAGGTAACTTCGTGGTCTCTTCGCGGGAAATTGAGCCACTCGAAAAATGGTACATACATGTCTACTAGGGTAAAAAACAGTGTAGATTTTGAATATCACATTGGTTTTCCAATAAAAAAAAATTTAAAATTGAGGTTTTGGCCAGGGTTTTCGGTCAAATACCACAGTGTGTGTCGTTCAGATTCGGGAAAAAACTAAACAAAAAAAGGCCCGAATACAACTCTCCTATTTTCGACTGTGTTGACACTCGATTTTTTTCTTTCTTTTCAATTTGACCTCTGATTCTTTTTTTTTTAGAATGTATTCATGGACCTGTATATAAAGCTCGTAAGTGCCGGTCCAATACGGCAAACCTCGGGTCAACTTGACTCGGCTTGGGCATTTAAGTGTTAAATTTTAGCAGAGAGGGCATCTTTGCTTAGTAAAGTCATATTTCATGTTTTATAACATGTATATGACAACTTTCAAATGTGTCATAATTTAGATAGTTGTAATGTATACGTTATACTAGGTGTGTAACTATGATATACATGCGGGTGAGCTTCTTTATTTGTATAGTTTTGTACATTGCTTAATGTGACTATCGGAGTACTTAAAAGACAACGTGTCCACCACATAAATTCTTACAGTCCGTTGTCTACCGTATATAAACATAGTTGTTAATGGTTCTATGTTTAGGAAACAGAATTGTATCATCATTTCGAGCGTAAATTTCCTTTTATGTACCTTTAACTATGATTTTGTATCTGAAATTGTCCCATTAAGGTACTTTTACTTTCATAACTTCTTCTTGACCTTAGGAAAACAAATTTCTTCGGAAAGAAAAAAGAGAGAGGGAATTTCTTTTAAATTGAAAAATTCTATGATTCAAGACTGAGAAAAATAGGATTCGTTTTTTGAGACTCATTGATAATATTTTTATTTTGTTTTTTTAAAAAAAAGGATTTAAATGTAATGCAGAAAGGTTCCTAGATCATTTTCTAATCTGGTTATAATTTCTGAACAGCTGATTGTGAAGAGGAAGCGTTGCAGCAAGAATGAATCTTTACTAAAAGGTACGTATTAATCGTGCGTTTAATTATGAATGAGAAAAACCATCGTAAAATTTTCATCTATATACTGTTAAAAAAGTACTTAAATGTTCCAAAAAAAATGAATTTACATATTTCAACGCTCAGAGCCCACACAGGTTAAGCCTCAAATCACGATAGTCGTAAAACTGTGCTTTTTACATAACGTTTTTCAACTTTTTGTGAACTTTATGATTTTTTCAGGTGAAAAAAATCGAATATTTCTGGACATCCTGCTTAAAAATAGTGAAAACAAAGGAGGCAAGGACGAATCTAAATTGGTGTTTGAAACAGGCGAAATTTTTACAGCGGTATGTTATTTGCACAATATATACAACCTTTAGACTAAAGGGTCAACATTTAATGTTAAAGAAACGTAAGCATATCTTTTAAATATTTATAAAATGTTTAAACATCTTTTTCCAACCATCACCTAATCAGAGTTGTAGGAGTATCTTTTGCGCTTTATTAGTTGTAACTTACACAACTTTTGATTTGAACTCGAGTCGCGGCGATCATAGACGAGTACGCCGCCACTTTGCCATTCGGCGCTCGTATCAGGTAGCCCTGAATTCACGCTACTTGAGGTACCTCAACTAATTTGTCCGTCGTTGGTGATATTCACGCTCTGATCTATTCACTCACAGTACAGCGCGAAATTCGCGCTGGATTTTTTTTTTTTTTTCACACCGGCTACCTATTCACTCAGAGTAAATCATTGATTTTTAACAGTGTCACCATCGATGTAAAGATGTGGGGAGATTGTCTTTTGTTTCCATTTCAAGAGGTCATCTTTATTATTAGAGTGAATTTTTTTCACAGGGGAGCATAACGATGGGAACAACAGTGAGCTGGGTGCTCCTGCTAAGCGAAGTTTTCCCAGAGGTTGGCGATAGACTTCGCGGCGAAATCGATACCTTGATTAGAACCGGAAACGGTGTCCTCACCCCGGAAGCGTGCAATGGATTGGAGTACTTGGACATGGTTCTAAAGGAAACCCTGCGTCATTTCGGTGTTCCCTTCATAGTTCGTCGGAGCAGCGAGGACGTGCAAATTCGTGGTAATTAACTCCATTTGAGACAAATAAATCTTTAAAACCCAGGGCCGGATTTACCTACTTGCTGCCCATGGGCCGCCTGTATTTTGCCGCCCCCCTCTCATTCCTTTTGAAATGTTAATAAAAACCATCCGTGCCGGAACGTGCCGGAACGTGCGGTAGAGGGAGAGGTGCATATAAGACGCGTTCACTCGTGTTGGACACATTTTTTGCGAAAGCCCTGTTAACACTAGGGTGGTTTCACGATAACTAGAATAGTTTTGTCGCCGTTACAGACAACACATTTTCGACCATATTTTTGGTAGAAATGATAATCACTCGAATTTTTTCGCATTAATCTTCAAAGAGTTACGTATTATAACGTTTTTGAAAGATTTATCGCTCTATTTTTCAATTTTAATATATAAATGGCTGAAAATTTGCTGTCTGTTACGCGGTAAAAAGTCAACGTAACAGACAGCACATTTTCGGCCATTTCTACATTAAAATTGAAAAGGAGAGCGACAAATCTTTGAAAAACGTTATAATACGTGACCACGTGTAGAATAATGCAAAAAAAAAAAAATCGAGTGATTATCATTAATACTAAAAATATGACCGAAAAATGTGTTGTCTGTTACGGCGACAAAACCATTCCAATTATCGTGAAACCACCCACTACTAGCAAAAGTTAACGGAACTTCGTGCGAAAGTTAAGTTCCGTAAACCTATCTCTGTGTGGACAAGGCCTTCCATTTATAAGTAATGAACGAAAAAATTATGACAGAACAAACATGAATGTGGTTTAATAATTTTAACTTCCGCTGACCGCACTGTATTTGGCGCAATGCGTGAAGTATTCCTACAGTCTTGTAGGCGCTATGCGTTTCTCGCCGACCGCTGCTGACCGCATTGTGTTTGACGCAATGCGTGAAGTTTTCATGTAGTCCTGTAGGAGCTAATATGTGTTACATGCCGAACGCCGCGCCGCACAGTGCAGTGTCCTTATGGCGCGTAGGGACAAAAATCATAGCTCGCAGACAAAAGCGCTTAGAGAGGTGAAATTTGGTATGGAAGGTCTTGAACATATAGACTATCGTTAGATGAGGTCAAATTTTGTTAAGGACACTTTGGGGCGGGAGGAGGGGGGCGGGAGTACTGATACTTGAAGGCGAGTGTTTGGGCGGTAGAGACCGAACTCATAGCTCAAAGACAGAAAGATATAGAAAAGTGAAATTTGATATGAGACCTCCTATACATATGTGCTATTGTCGGATGGGGTCAAAATTTCATAATGACACTTGTGGCGGGGTGAGGGGGGGCGGAAGCAGTGATACTTGAAGACGTGCGTTTGGGCGATAGGGACAAACATTTTAGTCCGAAGTTGGTAGCACATACAGAAGTGAAATTTGGGTGCAACCTCTTCTACCGATAGGCCATCGTTAGATGAGGTCAAATTTTTTAAATAACACTTCCGGCGGGGAGGGGTGGAGCGGTCGCAAAGTTACTAAATAGTGAGCGTTTGGGCGGTAGGAACCGAACTCGTAGCTCAAAGACGGATGGACAGAGAGATGAAAAATTTGACATGAGACCTCCTATTCATACAGTTTATCGTTAGATGGAATTAAATTCTTAAAGCAGTACCTGGAGGGGGGGGGGCTGTAACAATTATAGTGAGATCGATTCTGGTCGGAAAAAGACGGTCACGGCACATTCCCCATGATTTGATCTGAAATTACTGGTTAAAAACAGGCCTTGTTACCATTACCCAGATTAAACCTTTTTAACACGTATTATAATTTTTTTTAAAATTTTTGTGTCAGAAAAAAGTCGCAAGAACAAAAAATGCTCAAGCACTGTGATTATCCGAGGGAAAATCGGCTATTCCGAAAAATTGGAGGACGACGCGGAAAGACGGATAGAATTTTCGGGGGGAGGGGGGGTATGTATTAAAGTATTTTATAGAATGACCATCATGTCTAATAACCACATGTGTATGTAACTTTTTTTTTTCTTTGTCGGAAAGGAATCATGAAGTTCGCCTTAAACAGAGACCGCATCATGCAGCTCAACGAGTATACCCGATTCCCGACTTGAGGTCACAAAACCGACGATTTCGTCGGTGTGTGACAATTTGTAGCTGGAAGCTAAACAGTTTCTCAATCTGGAGGGTATTGTGAACAACATATCAAAAAATTACGTTGATATATTTTGATATATTTTTTAATCTATGTTTAAATAAGACACGATAATTAGCCAATATGCCGATCACTGCGCGCCTGAGCCCTGACTTGAGGTCACAAAAATGACGATTCCGTCGATTTGTGGCAGTTTGTGGATTAAAACTAAACATATTCTGAATTTGGAAGGTATTCTGAACAACATATCAAAAATTTGCGTTGATATATTTTGATATATTTTTTTAATCTATGTTTAAAGACACGATAATAAGCCAATATGCCGCTTATTGCGCGCCTGAGCCTTGACTTGAGCTCACAAAAATGACGATTCCGTCGATTTGTGGCAGTTTGTGGATTAAAACTAAACATATTCTGAATTTGGAAGGTATTCTGAACAACATATCAAAAAATTGCGTTGATATATTTTGATATATTTTTTTAATCTATGTTTAAAGACACGATAATAAGCCAATATGCCGCTCATTGCGCGCCTGAGCCCTGACTTGAGCTCACAAAAATGACGATTCCGTCGATTTGTGGCAGTTTGTGGCTTAAAACTAAACATATTCTGAATCTGGAAGGTATTCTGAACAACATATCAAAAAATTGCGTTGATATATTTTGATATATTTTTTTAATCTCTGTTTAAAGATATCATCACATCTCATTTATCGATCACGTGATTGATTTCTGACATGAAAGGGCGGACGCCATATTTGTCGTTAAATTTGAGGTCCAACTGAGTAGAAATCAAATAGATTATGGATTTGAAACATCATTTTAACAACTTATCAAAAAACACGGCTGAACTCATGCATGCACACTGGCTCTCTTTGGTTTCACGTATAGCTGTTATAAAAATAAGCCAATATGCCGCTCAGTGCGCGCCTAAGCCCTGACTTGAGGTCACAAAAATGACGATTCCGTCGATTTGTGGCAGTTTGTGGCTAAAAACTAAACATATTCTGAATCTGGAAGGTATTCTGAACAACATATCAAAAAATTGCGTTGATATATTTTGATATATTTTTTTAATCTACATTTGAAGATGCGTATATGGAATAAATCGAATTTTTGGCATCATCAACGGAAGACCGGACTGAGAGGCCCTTAATTTAAGAATTTAAAATAATCAACATAGTTTTTGTATAGACAAACATACCTTGTACCTAAACATTCTACCTTGTTCCGTTCTGATTAGGGTAATATCAGTTATCACCCGTCATAACACATGATGCCCGCTGCTGGATCTCTGCTAATTGTGCATCCGCGCAGGTTCCGTGATTTTCCCTCCCCCTCCCTCCCTTTCAATAGCATTTTCATGTCAAGAAACTTCGAATTTTTTCTTCCCATCCATCCATTTCTTCAATCCAGCGGTCATTTTTATTATCCGACAAAGTCGAATTTTCGATTTTTGTCCACGGGACACTGCACTGTGCGCCGAGGGCTTCTCCTTTTCATCTCAAGTCCTCGTCATCATTGCTCTCTGCGCCGCGCCGTTCCAGGCCAAATTGCGTGTTTGATTTCTCTCTTAACTCGACTAAATAAAAGTGCAGTCTCTTGTATCACCGAAAGACGACAAAATTAGAAGTTACTATACTCTTAGGAAATGAGAGATTTCGTCGCCTTTTCTCGTTTGTAATTTTCTTCCTGAATCCGATTTATTTTATACCTACATTTAAAAAAATTTCAAAATTGGCCGCCATGGGCCGCGGCTCATGTCGCCACCCCCTAAATCCGGCCCTGTTAAAAACACGCTCTAAAAACATGCACTAAAAGTTTGATGCATGCATAACGTGATTTAAAAATTATTTGATAGACATATAGCATAAAAAGTTTATTGATGTAGAGTATAACTTGCCGTCAAACAAAATATTTACCTGAAAGAAGAAAACAGACGAAAAAATATTAATAATATGCGTGATTGAAACTAGTTCGAAAACGAATAACGGACTATAAAATGTGGTTGGAAAATAGGCACATTATTCGTAAATTACCATGGAACCGCGTTTAGCAGAAAAGAACCAAGCCACGTCAACTATTGCCTTTAATTGGGCGATTTAATTTTTTACAAGAGAACGTTTGTGCGGTTTTCTTCGACAATTTTAAGGAATTTGCCTCGGACTCTGCAGAAAATTCACTAAAATTTGCAGGAAAATCCGTACCTACAGCCGTTTTCATGTATAAATTAAATCGCCCCATCAAACCTGGCAATAGATAATGTGACTTGGCTCCTTGCTGCCTACGCAGTCCAATTTAGATATAGTCGATACCTACCGACAGGTCCACATCTTCTAGCGATTCAACCAAAGCCTATGGAACGATATGATTTTGTATTTTTCGAAGAGATAACTATTACAGTGATGAATTAACTTCCAAACCATTTACCTTGGTTTTCGATGTAGCGAACTTCCTGCCATACTTTATATTTCAAATGCATAACCATTCAGGATCACTTCTTCACGATTTTTCTGCTTTCGCGAGGAAAAACCTTCCTTTTCTTTCTGTGAAAAGTTCAAGGCAAGACGTTGATTTGTTATCCTTTAAAAATATTAAATGGGAGCAAACATTTTTAAACACCGGAAACGAGATACATGATTTGGGAGTTTCACTGTCGATTTGTACACTCCGGCACATTAGTTGCCTATGGGTTAAAATTGAAGGCGAATTCCAAATCGACGATATCAACCAACAGGTTCATATTGTCGTTTATCGGTTCAATAAAAACTTATGGAGCGATATTGGTGTAAGGATGACTTTTCACTCTCTCGGGCATGTATTTGCCTATGCGATCTCAATGAAAGCTAACCTTTAGTGGACATCTGCCGACAACGGTCGCGCTTTATATTTTGAGAGCACCGAGGGGTGAAAGTCAAACCTTTGAGTCTTGATATCTTCAGAACGAAAAAAACGTGTTGGAATCCGGTTTGCACTAAAAATAATCTAAAACTCCACCGTTTACAATTCTTGATGTAAAAATCAAAGGTTTCATTTTCACAGGGCTATGTCTTGTCTTATCATGTCGACAAAGCCAGTTAAAGTTTCAGCTGTCAGGCTGCAGCGAGCTGATCGACAAACAAATCGGTAGACAAATCTGACAATTTCAATAGCGAATTTGCACGTGTCTTAAATTTTGTGAATTTCATATCTAAAATGATACTACTATAGGAAATCTGAGTACGAGGATATCCTTGGTTTCTAAATTTGACAATTACTGGAGAAAATATGAAAAAATAACCTAATTTGCTAAAATACATGTGTTTAAATGGAAAATGCCACCAGATGACGTCACAAGGCGGCACATTTTCTCACTTTTAAATCTATTTTTCTTCAATGTCCGATGTCAGAAAAAAATTATGAAAAATACTCCGAACTCAGCTCACTAAGCGCTTTCAGATGAAGCAATAAAAAAAATTCATGCAAATTCTTCGTTAACAATATGCATAAATTACCTCAAAAATACATTTTGTATCCGGGGACATTTAGCAACGCTCGAATATTCATACGGCGTTGACCCGTAGCTCCACGGTACTGTACATACACGGTACTGTACATACTAATAAAGGGGAAACCAGTGATGCCAACTTTCAAGAATGGAGATGTTGCATGTGTGAGGAATTTGCGATTTGACTATTATTTCTTGTGTAAAAGTACGCGAGAAACACGATGGTGCCACTGGTTTTCTCTGAAATCAACTCCAGGCTCAGAAAAAGCTCTCACGTTGAGGCCAAAATGGAGGGGATATACCTCTCTTGAGCTGAGTCCATCTCTACATCAAGACAAACTCTCTATGCAAAGATAGGGAGCAGATACATTAGCAGTGATGCCGTGTTTTCAGTTCTAGAGTCCCCAAATAAAGTGGAGCCCTGTCAATGTATTTGCTCCCTATCTTTGCATGGAGAGTTTGTCTTGATGTAGAGGTGGATTCTCAGGATAGCGTGGGATATCCCCTCCATTTTGGCCTCAACTTGAGAGCTTTTTCTGAGCTTGGGAGATGATTTCAGAGAAAACCAGTGGCACCATCGTGTTCCTCGCGAACTTTTACATACGAGTCAACAGTCAAATCGCAAATTCCTCACGCATGAAACATCTCCATTGCCACCGTCCCACAATGGATCGAGTCAATCAGAGAGGTCGGACATAAAAAAATCGGACTAAAACTGCAAATTTTGATGTTTAATTAGTCACAGTCTAAAGCTAAAAGGGCGATTTAAGGATAAAATTTCACGAGGAAACAAATGGAACCACTTTTAAAGTCTCAAAGTTCTAATTTAAAGGAGTTATAAGCTTTTAAGTTTCCAAATTTTGTCCCACTTCTCCCATGACTCTATCCACTGTGTGTCCGGCGGTGTTAACATCGCTCCCATTCCTCGGATGAAGCTACCGCTCCAGCTCCTGCCTCTCCCTCACTCCTTCAGCGAGACCTCCACCCTGCGTCAGAACACCCAACAACTCGTAGAGTATCCGCGAGAAAACCTCGGCGCCTCCGGCGGCGCGGATGGCATCCCTCGCCCGAATCATATGCGGGGCGTTCTGCGGATCCCCTGCCACCTTGAGAGCGAAGTACGCCTGGACACTCGGGGTGACCGCCATCGGGCCGCCCGGGTAGAAAGTCCAGCCGCCGCCCGGGAGTTGGGTGTGCCGGAGATAGCAAGCTAGCTTCTGCTCGAGCAGTGCGCTGGGTGTCTCGCCGTAGTGGTTGCGGAGGAGATATTGAGCCGTCATCGCCGCGTCCGTCTCCAACGGGTGGACCCAGTCGTCTTCCCTCTGTTGGTTTGAAAACGTGGTCGTTGTGCGTGGGACTCGGCTGTTCTGCATCTCATGCTCGTCGGCAGCCATGGTGTGTGAGCGTGCGGTGGTGACTCAAGTGCTCAAAAGACGCTCTTGAGAGTCTGGAATGCCCTGGGACAAATAGTAATGTGATCATAATGACGTATTCCTGATAAACGTAAATAAATTCAAATAATTGTATTCCTGAGTTAGGAGATTGCCTGTCTACGAACAATGAAGGCGTACAATTAAACGATTTGTATAATGACGCTCAGGTAACGCTCTTGAGAGCCTGGAATGTCCTGGAACACATAGTAATGTGATCATGTTAACGTAATCCTGATAAACGTAAATAAACTTCAAATAAACGTATTCCTGAGTCGAAAAAGTGCCTACCTACGAATAATGAAGGCGCACAATTAAACGATTTGTATAATGACGCTCAGATAACGCTCTTGAGAGCCTCTCATGTCTTGGAACACATAGTGGTGCGATCATGCCACCGAGGATAATAATAGCGCCCAAATTTCCGAAATCGAGCTGTGGAAAGTGCACGGCGAAATGGGATACAAATAAACATGTTCCTGAGTCGAGAGATTGCCTACCTACGGACTACAAAGGGACAATGGGGCACAATTCAAAGATTGAACGTTACTGCTACCCACAGTGGTCTTGAAGCGAAAAAATGCAACAAAAATGTACCCCAAACGAGTTGTAGGGGGTGAATCAATAGGAGGCTGTGTAGACTTGAAATCGCGAAAAGTCAAAATCTTTGCTGATCCTCTTTTCGAAGTATTGGAATTTGAATTATTCATAGTAAATGCAAGTTTTCCACTGATTTTGATCCAGTTTTTTTAATTTACTTGTTCATTGAATTTGAATTTGTTTATTTGTCGTTACCTATTCATTTGTCGATGGGTTCACGTCGGTCGAGTACAAACCCTCTCGTTGCATGCAGACTTCCTATCATACTCCTTCTTTTGAACTGAACAATTCGCCTACAGCTGCATCTGCAACAAGTGTTGTTACGAAGATGATTTTAGCTCATTGTATGTATACTCGACTCTTTGAGGGCGTTTTATGCGTGCAAGTAGCGCAATCTCTTGGAGAACAAACGAAGTAGGGGTTGAGCGATTCATTCAATCTCACTTCTATTGTTCTCCAACAGGGTGCTCTACTTTTGCACATGAAACGCCTTCAAAGAGTCGAGTATGTAATGATCTAAAATCAGCACGCACAACATATTCGTAACAACAATTGCTGCAGACACAGCTGAAGGCGAATTACGTTCGCACATAAAACGCCCTCAGATAGTCAAGTATGTAATGAGCTGAAATCAGCACGCACAACATATTTGTGACAACAAATGCTACAGACGCAGCAGAGGGCGAATTGTTCAGTTAAAAAAGAATATGATAGGAAGTCTGCATGCAACGAGAGGGTGTCGATCGACACATGGGCTAGGCAAGTCATGACAAATGTACGAATTCAAAATCAATGGATGCAAATAAATGAAAGACTGGATCAAAGTTAGTGAAAAACTTGCATTTATTATGAACACATCAACTTCCGATATTTCAAAAATAGGATCAGCCAAGATTTTGATTTTTCGCGATTTTAAGTCTATACCCACCATGGATTCACCCCCTGCAAACCGTTTTTGGGTACATTTTTGTCGCATTTTTTTCGCTTCAAGACCAATGTACACCGTAACCCAGGATTTTGCGCTTGATCTAGTGATCTCAAGCGTTCGGATGGATCCGTATCGCGCGGACCTTGCCTATACTGCCGTGCTAAGGAAGAACGCCGCATGAACACTCGGAGGTTGTCAAATTTCCCCGAGTAATATGTTTATTTATAAGTAGAGCTCTGACTGCTTTCTTCTGCAATATCAGGTAATTTAGATAAGACTGCGAATACAATCCTCTGAAAAATGGAAGGAAAAACATTTACAGGTTTCCCTGAAAATTCATGTTTTATTAAAGGAAATTTGGCAACGTCTAAAGGCTCATACGACGTTTTTCCTTAGGATGGAAGCACACCAGCACGGACAGCGCGTACGGATCAAAAGTAAAGGGGAAAATTCTTACGTATCCTAACTAAGCCGTACGTTCGCCCAACTCCGCGTCCATTCCCGTGCGTTGTTTCGTCGCTTTCCGTTTGAATGCTTCTTAATTTTGCTAAGTTTATTATTCGGGAACTAGTTTGATACTTTCTGCATTACAAGGTTTTATTCAGTTTAATATTCGGAGAGCACGTGGACCGCTTAAGATATGAGGATCCGGCAAGCAACACTGACTGCATCTAGGGAAGATTTTCATTTTCCCAACTCATGTGTCCATGCAAATTGATTCATTGCAACTATGTGACGGGGGGTGTAATTTTCCGCCACATTGAATTGCCGCTAAAGTGCGGACAAACACTTTGTTTTCAAATTTTAAAACAAGTTTTCGGAGGGCAAAACGGCTCAAAAAACCCTGAAATTATTACTGCGTGACCAGGGGTCAGGATCAATGTAGTTTCTGAAAATACAAGAATTAAAAATAGTTTACCGTAAGCTCTCGGTGCGACTGTATGTTTTTCAGGATTGCGACTTTGAATAATTGGCTCTGAAATGAAACGTATCTTGGATCCAGGGTCTAGACTCTTTAAAAATTTGACGAGAAGAAATACTATCCGTGACTCAATTAGATGTTTGCTTGAATTAAAAGGAAATTCACTTAAATTAAGAGACTTGGCTCTCGATCCGAGAAAATATCCAATTGAATCAAGAGTATTTTATCTAGTCAAATTTTTAAGAGTCTGGATTCTGAATCCAAGAGACTTCTTTTCCAGAGGAGAAGTCAACTTTTTTGCACCAATTTACCGTCTCCACGGTGTTACATTTTTGCCAAATATATTTTGAGCACAACCTCAATATCAAAATAATTTAAAGGGGATGAAATATTTTGTTAACATTTTCTCAATGCTCATGTAGGTATTGAATTAAATAAAAAGTGGTATCTGGAATAATTGTAGGAGCTCAGCTCTTAATTTATATATTCATTTTATAGCACTAGTATTTACCCTTAAAAAGAAGAAGGAAACAATTGAATTATATTTGAAGCAGTGCAATTCTGATGGCACTTGGCATTAGAAAAGATATTTAAGGAAACAAATGCCTCGTTCAAAAATAACGGTTTGGTTTTTACAACGAATATGGAGCATGAAATATGACACTCCGTCTTAGGATATTTTAATCAGGCGTCGTCACCGTGAAGCATAAAAGTTAAAAACATACAAAAAAGGTGCTACTATGCAAATTTCAAACTTACTCAAATTTCAGAATCCAAAACATAAAGTCTAAACTATGATTTTTCAAGGAAAGGGATTGTGACTTTTCAGAAAACGCTGTAAGGGGCTGCAAAAGCAACTTGTTTTTTTTTATTATTTATTGAGAAAATGCGGAACACACTAAGAAATATTTTGCACTGAAAAGTGGGGAATTCAATTTTTTTAATGATCAATATTATCAAAAGTGATCGTTGAGTACTGTACCTAGAGTGATGAAATACCATGGTCTAGTTTCACAACAAAATGACTTACCTGGTACGTCCTCTGCAATTTTCACTTGAATACTGAAGGTCTCATGAGTCAATTTTAGGTGAACCAACACGCCATAGAAAGCAAAACATTGAGCCCCGATATTCAAACGATATGTTGAGTAAGAAGAAGATAAACGGAAATCAAATTCCAATCTTATCGATCAAAATTGACCGGGTCGTTGGATATAGTCGGATTATTATCTATAGAGAATTTTTCATACTGAGGGAAAAGAACTGCAACTTACGATGAAAAAATTGTGCAATTTGATATTTTTTAATGTCGTCAGGTTTACATTTTAATCAGTGTCAAGAGGTCACGAAGATATCTCCACTTATTACTTAAATGAACGTATGCGAGTGCACATAAGTCGGAAAGGTCGCACATTGTTGTATGAAGGTGTGCATATTGGAAGGTCAAAACATTCTCTCAATGTGAGATTTCTTTTCTCAAAATAAAAAATTAGTATTCGAATATTTTTGAGGCCGCTCTTGAAATGTCCATTGAACGATTGTGTGGACGGTGCTTACAAAAAATATCTTAGTATCACAGTTGAACTCAAACGCTTCGAAAAATTCAGTTTCTCGTGATGGTTTGAAAATTTGAATCGTAAATAGCCTGACTTTCTGTTCAGTAAATTTAAAGATAAGAAGGGCGAGACTTTTCCGGAAAAGAGCCCCCTTTTTTACTTCTAGCGCGGATATGCAATCATTTATTTTAAATATTGTACTTGAATACTTCAGATTGGAACCCGAAATTCATGTTCAAATGTTCAGACGAATGGACAATGAAACCATTGGAAATATCCTATCAGTCTCTTTTCCTCTTACACGATCAAATTAAGCTGGCCGAAAAGGAACATCTTGTTGTTTCATCATCAATTTGCCTTCAATTTTTAGTGTAGGCAACACGAACTCTTGCGTGGTCACGCGGCGATGTCATCATTAAATTGCACACTCATTCGGGACACACAAAAATATAAATTTTTTTCAAACGGAACTAGAGATTACTTGACTGACATGTCGGTTCGCCTTCAATTTTTAGTGTAGGCAGCCCGCGCTCCCACGTGGTCGAATAGTGGTATCGTTGTGAAATGACAAGCGCTTTTGAAACCGCAAATAACGAGTGAATCGCTATGCACAGGGAGCGCCGTTGAAGTCAATTCTTGAAAGATGCTTTATGTGCCTCCTGTTTGTCAAAAGAATGAACTAACTATGAGCCATGCGGCATTTTTTTTAACTCAAGCGGTTTATGGAAAAATTGCGGGCTGCGAGTTGTTTTGGGATTTATTAATTAAAATCAATAATTAATCTCGCGAATTTTGGCGACTCGTGTTGACCAAATTCAAAACAAATATTCAAAATTGCACAGAGTTTCCGGTTTCAATTTAATGCATCTTATGCATAAACACTCTGAGTGTAGCCAAGAGCTGGAGACCTGCACGTAAGGCATTGCTGGCCACCGCACATTTTAGTCTTAGAAACAAGAATATACTGGACAAAACAGCATAAAAATTGACTTAATTGGCCCTTGAGTACTTAACTAAGGTAATGCACAGTAGGTATGCTCAGAACACAGGAACACACTGAAAATAGCCTCCTACCGAAGGAGATGAGATGACTTTCCCGTCATCTCAGTTTGCCTTCAATTTTTAGTGTATGCAACACAATCTCCCGTGTTGTCGAATAGTACTGTCATCCCCCATGTAATAGTCGGCCAGTTTCTGTTGGCGAATTTTTTAATCAGAAAAACAACAACAATAATAAGAGAAATAATCTCAGAAGAAACGAATAACACAGAAACCATTCCACCTAAAGCATTTGAAACAAAAAAGAAATACAATATAAAATACAACCCAACAAAGCAACTATTTGAGAAACTCGAGCAAGAAAAACCCATAGAGATAACCGTAAATAAAGAAGACTTTATAGAAAAGCAACTCATACGAACTGGATTAACAGAGCAATCAATCAAAAATGATAAAGAACAAAAGAATATCAAACAAGCTAATAACAAAAAACCAGAAAAGAATAAATCAGAACACACATTTACAGCAATAGTCGGCAACTTAAACGAAATGACAATAGCACACGACCTAATATACGACATTAGCAATACCAAAAAAGCAGGCATACAAATCCTCACAGAACCAAACAAAAACAGAGCCCAAAAAGATGGATTTTTCATTGACAAACAGAACAGAACAGCAATCAAAACAAACACAAATCTAATAGGTCAAACCAAAGACTGGGAAAAACACAAACATTTCATCAGCTTTAAATGGCACAATATCACAATAATAGGCTGTTATCTATCACCTAACGACACAACAGAAATTTTGGAAGAGCAACTGGAAGAATTAAGTCTCAAGATACATCAAACATCCGGAGAGAAAATCATAACAGGAGACCTTAATTGCAGATCTCCACTATGGGGCGACAAAGAACTAAACACCAGAGGAAGAATCTTAGAATCGTGGCTTTCAGCAATGGACCTAGTGGCATGTAATCAAACATCAACATATACACCAACCTTTATCAGTGCAAGGGGAGACTCAGTACCTGATATAGTTATATGCTCACCCGAAACAGAATCAAAATTAAAAATGCAAGTGATAGACGATATTAATATAAGCGATCACCGATGCTTCACTCTAGAATACAATCCGCAATATAAAACCACAAGAAAAACAGAACAAAAAGTCAATAAATGGATCCTTGACCCCAAAAAGTATCCAGAATTCTCAAAAGAATGTAAAGAACTCACAACTCAACACCTAGAAAAAAGCACATTATCTCCAATGACTTGTGAAAAAATTATAATAGAAGCAGCCAACAAAACATTCAGACTTCAAAACTCAGAAAATACAAAAACCACCCCATATTGGTGGAACACAGAAATCAAACAAACAAAGAGAAAATGTTTAAAAGCCCAAAGAAAACTCATACGAGAAAGAAAAAAAGAACAAATAGAAGAAGATACCTTCCAAGAATATCAAGAATTAAAAAAGAAACTAAAACATCAAATCGTAAAATCCAAACAAGAAAAATGGACCGAAATAATAAAAGAATTAGACAATGACATATGGGGGAAAGCATATAAGATCTTCAGAAACAAACTAAAAAGACCACCAACTCATGACACCAACACCCTAACCAAAAAGGAACTATTAGATACAGTTGACAAATTATTTCCAGACCATGGTTATGTACAATGGAAACGGACAACAATACCAGAAACAGAAATACCTCTCATAACAGATGAAGAATTGCACATGGCAATCAAAAGACAAAAGAGCTATAAAGCCCCAGGTCCAGACAACATAATTCCGATATTAAGCAAAATATACATAAATAGTAATTTCAAACCGTACAAAGACATGTTAAACTCCTTACTGAAAAAATGCGATTTTCCAGACTCTTGGAAAACAGCCCGACTAGCATTACTACCGAAACAAACCAAAAAAATAAACTCCCCTAAAGCATACCGACCAATATGCATGCTAAATTCGATGTCTAAAATATACGAATTCATTCTTAACAAAAGACTCACACAATCATTCACCCCAAATACCGCACAATTTGGATTCAGAAACGGCAAAAATACATGCGATGCAATTCTCAGGATTAAAAAA